TTTAAGCCTTGGAGGAAGAAAGACCGGATGAGCAGAATAATGCTGCCCGATTCTTACTGTAAGAATTTACTGGATGTGCATCGTGTATTGCATTAAAAATCAAATTGGAGCTAAAACGCTGGCTGGAATCTTGCTGTGAAGAGCTAATGTTCAGCTGGGGAGATGTGGGGGTGGAAAGTGTGTATCTGTGTGGGAGAAATGGTACCCATAGATATTTCCTCTGCTATAATAACTTCTGTATTCTCTCCGAAGCTCTACAAAAGGTTTAATCTACCAGGAACTCCACCAGAATCTATGGGGCGAGGAAGAGACTGGAACGTGGACCTAATTCCAAAATTCCTTATGGCTAACGGTAAGCGACACTGAGCTCCCAAATCTGCCTCGTAAGCTTAGCCTGGGTTAGTTCAGTGTTAGTTCAGCGCTGTCATCAGATAAACAGCCCTTCAGCTAGCTCCTCATTAACTTGTTGCGGCGTTAATCAAAGAGCCGCGGAAAGCTCACCCGAGCTGATCTGCATGCGCTTATGCCAGAAGCACCACGGCTTCTGCTCGGTGACTTGTTTTGGCTGTGGACCTCTCAAGCTCGGAAGGTGCCTCCAGCTTGGAACGTGCAGCAGTGGCATGTCTGGAAGGTTTGAATGTCCGTTTTCCAACACCCTCTCTTAAGGGGGTTGCGTTTCTAGCTGGAGTTAATGCCATGAATTCGTGCGTTGTTATTCTTCCCTGGATTAGGAAGAAACGGTTGATTCCATGGTGACTGTCAATCCCCTTTGTTCCTGTTTTACGGCTTGCAGACTCTGTCATCCCGTGTTGATGCTACAAATCCTCATTCTTTAATCCATGTGTTCCAGTACTGGGACAGGTCTTCTGGACCAAACCCACTATCGGTCAAGTGGTTATCAATGCAAACAAATTCAGGGGCAGCTCGTTTTGCCAAATACCACCCCCTTGCTACTGGAATCTGTCCCTGAAGCACGAGGGGGTAGATGTGTTGTGTAGCGCCAGTCTTGCTCAAGGTTAGCGCAGTGGAAGGCTTGATAGATTCCAGTCGAGGTTTGGTTACTCTAGTCTCAGCTTACTTTGAGGGTGGATTTCTAAGAGACAGCATCCCCCTGGCATTCCCCTGAGGGGGAATCGTGCTGCAGCATGGCCTTTACTCAGAGGTTTGATGGAAGCCGCAGGAGCGACGAGGAAGCTGTTAATTGCCTTAAAACTGCCTAATAATTGCACTAGTGAGCATCTGCCACGCCCTGTCTATTACACAAAGGTGTAAGAGCTGTGTGGGTTGAATGTGGTGCTGCCGTTGGAGGGTTTGCTGTGTTGGAAGAGCTGTCTGCCGTGTGAGAAGCACTGGCCTCCTCTTGGCTTCTGGCTACAGACCAGCTGGTTGACTTGTGCCAAATCCTCCTTTCCAGGTCAGTTGGTAAAGATGCTGCTCTACACAGAAGTCACTCGCTACTTAGACTTCAAGGTGATCGAGGGAAGCTTCGTCTACAAGGGAGGAAAGATCTACAAAGTTCCTTCCACTGAGGCAGAAGCCTTGGCATCCAGTGAGTAGTTGCACCTTGCTTTGTTTCCTCCTGAGGCTACAGTCTCTAAAAAAAGGCATCTCGGGGTATTCTGTGCTTGTGTAGAAAAGAAATCTTAATGCTCCTCACGTGGTGCTGTGTGTAGACTCCAGCCCAGTAACAAGCCGTGCTTAGCGTAGGATTCTTCTGCATCTCATTTGACATCAAATACCTCAAGAAGTCTTGGGCTTCCTGAGCCTTGAGTTACTGTTTTCTTGGAGATCTCAGGTGGAGCCGGTCAAGCTGCCTGTTCTATGGCTCAGCTGGTGAGAATTTAGCAGTATTTTACCTCCTCAAGAGGTTATATCTGGGGCTTATGTTCCCAGCTCTGCCATAAATATTTAACGTTGGGTCCTTGTCCGATGGAGTCATGCGTGTGAAAAATGTCGTCACGTTCATCAGCAGGCAAATTGCAATGACTAATTCCGATATGTGGCACCTAGCTCAAATCTTAAGTGTTGTCTACTTTAAATTTCACACTTCAGATAAAACTACCGATCATTCATAAGAGCGTAGCGACACCCATTAGGCGCTGGCAGAGGGCAGTCCGTTAGCTTCAGATGGGAAATGCGTTTGGTAGCATCTCTGGAAAGTCTCGTGATGAAGTGACTCCTGCAGATAAGGCTCCCAGTGTGCGGCTTGGCTGTACGTTGGAGCCTTCCTCGTGGCAGATATTCGTGTTTGTTGTGAAGTAATCGGTAATTTGGCCACGTTGCTGCCTCGTAAGTGGTCTCCTAAGAGACTCTTACTAGCAGAAGAAGGAGGTGCCTTTGGTGCCGTCTCTGCCTTCATGTTTCGGCAAGTCTGGCCTTGCTTCTCCACTTCATAGAAAATTAAAACATGTAAACGGTGCCTTGGCCAATCTCGTGTCTGAAGTGTTGACTCTTGCAGCACTTGCTAGTTCCTTGGCGAGGCTGCAGGAGAGCCCAGCACTGCTGGCTTTGATGCTAAGCCTGGTAGATGCCAAACGCAGCTTAGGGAAGCTCAGGTCAGGCTCTATGCCAGGCCAAGTGGCAACTGCTCTCCAAGCTTTGCTGCAGCTGGGAGTCACGTGTAGAAGCTGGGCCTCCAGCCACACCTTGAAGGAAGTTGGCTGTGCCACCTCTTGAGGTCCAGTACACCGGACCGGCTTGGCAGATGTTTATGTCTCTCCTGCCTGAATGGGAGAGCCTTGGTTACCCCTCCAGGCCAAACTCCACATTATCGAGTGATGTTTGAAACCTTCGGCGGCTCTTCCCCGCGTCCGATACCCTGTGGCGATGGGAAAAGCCGTTTAGGAGCTGTGTTTAAATTCTGACAAAATACCTTGGTTTTAGGCTTAATGGGCTTGTTTGAGAAACGCCGGTTCAGGAAATTCCTAGTGTACGTCGCCAACTTTGATGAGAACGACCCCCGAACTTTCGAAGGCGTTGATCCCAAGAAGACCACCATGCGTGACGTGTATAAGAAGTTTGACCTGGGGCAAGATGTTATAGACTTCACGGGCCATGCCCTCGCGCTCTACAGGACTGACGAGTAAGTGCGGGTTCGGTTGCTCCCCCAAATTGCGGGGGTGCTGGGCGCTAAGTGCTTCTAAAAGGGAGCTTCCGGGGAAACTCTTGCCAGGAGCGGGAGGGGGAGGAGAACCTGCACGGGAAGTAAATGTTTTGCGCTCTCGGTGTGTTCTGCTGCGAGCCTTGGTTTGGGAAACGTTGTGAATGGTCTGACTGCCCTCTCCAGCTATCTAGATCAACCCTGCCAAGAAACAATCAACAGGATTAAGCTCTACAGTGAGTCGCTGGCTAGATACGGTAAAAGCCCGTACCTGTATCCCCTCTATGGCCTTGGAGAGCTGCCCCAGGGATTCGCAAGGTGAGAACTTGGTTTTGGACTCCCAGTGTTTCCTCAGCCCTGCTCTGGTACCTGGTGGGGGATCGGATGCGTGGACTCGGCACTTGGGCTTCCGGAATGTGATGCCGCATACAAATACTGCGGTCATTAATGGTTCTCTCGCCGTCTTAATCGAGAAGCCATTCCTTCATGTGAGATTTGCTGCTTTCTGGGCTTGTTTACCACGATTCTTGCCGGGGGTGGTAGTTCTGGGTTTGCTCAGAGATGCTGTTAGCAGCCTGTAGTCTGTCCAAGGAGTCGGATTTGCCTGCCTGGTGTAGCCTGCAGCTCTTGCGCTGTAGGACTGTCTGGGTTGCACCAAGCAGATCCTTCCTGGCCGGATGTAACTGCACCTATTATTTGCTCCAGATACCAGCTGATGCCTTGCAGAAGGAACAGCAGACACCATCTGCTGCCTAGATGTTTTTAAGCAACGTATTTCGAAAGGGGTTTAAGTCTTGATGTGTGGTTTGTCCAAGTGGAACAGAAACAAGGGGCTGGAAGGGCTGTTAAAAACCAAACGTGCACCTGTGGAACGTGCTGAAGTGGCTTTACTCTTGCAGGCTAAGTGCTATATATGGAGGCACCTACATGCTGAACAAGCCCATCGAAGAGATCGTGATAGAAAATGGCAAAGTGGTTGGTGTGAAGTCTGAAGGGGAGGTATGGTACCTTCCAATTCTTCCCTTACTCCCCACCCCCCCTCTTGCCGCTCAGAACTGAGGCTGTCGGTCACTGATCTGAACAAAGGCAGTAGGAAAACCCTCATCAGAGCCCTAGGACCAAAACTCCTTGGCCGCTGCCGTTTTGCCCCGTGCCGGCTCGCTTAAGACGTGTTGATGTTTTCATGGCGAGGAGTACAGGACCGTAGTCCTACTCCAGGAGTGGGAACAAAGTCATCATGGGGTGGCAAGGTTGTCTTCTGGAAAAATCAGGCTGGCTAAACTGGAAAGGAGCTGCTTGCTTGTGTCTACCCTGGGTATGGAACCAGCTCTGCCCTTGACATAAAGCACGAGCTGCTCAGACAGCTGGCACGCGGCCGTTCTGCAGCTTCTTCTCAACCTGGCAATATAAAACGAGCGAGAGTCCTGCGAGCTGCTTGGAAGCTATAAATGTGCTCCCAGCTGGAGGGGGAGCATCGCAGGACACTTTAGCGCTCCCTGGTAGGGTAATGTGTCCCCTCTGGGCCGGGGATGACGTGTCCTGGCCAGCACGGAGGTGCTAATCCGTGCTATAGACTGATGTCCCCAAGTGTGGGCTGCCTGGAGGCTTCAAATTGGTCAAATATTAAACTGTTACTGTAAAAATGAGTTCTAATGCGAAATCACAGAATCGTTTGGGTTGGAAAAGACCCTTAAGCTCCCCCAGCCCAACTGCCCCCCTACCCCTGCCATCCCACCCCCAAACCCCGGCCCTCAGCACCGCCTCTGCCCGGCTGTTAAATCCCCCCCGGGCTGGGGACTCGACCCCTTCCCTGGGCAGCCCCTTCCAGCCCCTGACAGCCCCAAGGGGAAGGAATTGTTCCCCATGGCCAACCTCACCCTGCCCTGGCACAACTTGAGGCCGGTGCCCCTCGTCCCATCGCCCCTTCCCTGGGAGCAGAGCCCGACCCCC